GTGTTATGCCACTCGTGCCAAACAAAAAGAAGAAGCTTAGCAAGGGGAGTAGAATATTAGAATTTAGAGAAAATTCCGGCCACAGAAAATATGAATCGGGACCAACCTCAACATCACATTTCAGCTCCTTTGCACAAGGCTTGACCATGAAAAACCTCTGCAACAGAATGTTATATTAGAAGTGATTGAGCTCGAGTGCTCTTAACTATAAGAGCAGCTAAAATAAAATAGCTACTGCAATGTCATCTTATATGATTATCTGGGTTTTAGCAACCAAAGCAACAGAACAAAGAAAACTTAAATTAAGGTAGCAGGTCTATAATGCAACAGTCTTGATTATAACAAGAACAAAAAGAAAATAATATTGGATGTTACTCACCTGTCGGAAGGGTTTATGGGGAGTCCGCCAAAATGCCTACAAAAGAAGATCCATCATAAAACCGACTTTCATGAGTCCAAACCAAAAGCATGGAGGAAGAAAATAAAGCAAGATATAGACATACCTGTTCAAAATATAGAACTTTAGAGCCATCTACCATGTCGGCAGCAGGACAGGAAAGCCATCTATACATGGAAAACATGAATTTTGAATAAAAGATTTAAATAACAGAACTTCCACCAATTTTTTTACTACATCAAGAAATGATCATATGCTTCCAGAAGCAAAACTTCTGGAGAGAAACATGCTTACATGCCCGACGCGGTCATTGGAAGATTGCTATCCAAATTATCGAAAGGTATGCTGCATCCTAAAGATTGTAACTTCGCAGGCCAATCAAGCAACAGCATACAAATTGGACAATATATAAACATTTAATACGTAATGTTTTTTTTTTCCTTCTACACCTCCATTTATCAATCTACTAAGCCTCAACTCAGACTAGCTCGGGCTAATTTCGTCTTAAGAAAGTCAAATTAATAAGATTCAACACATATTACAGTTTTTAGCTAAACCTTCTCCCTGATAAGCTAATTTGGCAGCAATATCTCAACTCAATTCCAAAATCAAAACATGTAGCAGTGAAAATTATAAACGGAAAACATAATACCTGAAATTAAAATAATTATCAGGATCCCTAACAGCTTGCTCCTTGGAAAACTACAATAAAACTCGAAAAAAATCAGTTAACCTCACTTTCTTCACATTTCCAGGGGAGCAAAAGTAGCAGAAATAGAAAAACTGTAGCGTAGCAAAAAAATAGTACCTTTTCACCGCTAAGTGACTGTGCGACAATTCGAGCATGGTCCCAACGTGTGGTCGACTTAGTGAGCCGCCGTACCAACAAAGCGCCCCCGATAAGCACCAGCGACTTGAGAACCGCTCCACGAGCTCGGCTCCACCCGTTTGAGTTCGGATCCGACTTTGAGTCCGAAACCGAGTCCGAGCCCGGGCACATACTGGTCTTTAACACTTTACAGTGGACTCTCTAATAACAGATAATTTGACCTATAAATCATCCTCGAATTTTATAAACTTGAATTCAAATCAAATTCTTCAGCTTCTTTTTCTTCTCAAATTTTCTGCAAAATTACAAACTTCAGAAAATGTGGAAAATTTAGAAATATTTTTTGTTGGCGTAGAAGCATTGGCAATAGTAGTCTCATTCCGTCCTTTCAATCCCCACCACTTGTTTTTTCGAGTCCGACCACATTACTGGACTGAGAGATAGTAGAATCTTCTTCTGGGCTTGAAGCCCACTATTAGCCCAATCTCACTTTCAGCTTATGCCCACTGGACTTTGCGATTGGAAATATTAGGGAGAAATTCAAAAATAGCCAGATTTATAACTGGTCGTTCAAAAATAGCCTCGTTTCAAAAGTAATCGAAATTTAGCCACTTTTCATGTAAATATAAATTTGAGCGAAAATACTGTTCAAAATCCGGAAAATACGCTAGTATAATATACTTGAGTTCCAGCATAAATATGCTTGAACTCCAACATAATATGATGGAGTTCCAGCATAAGTACACTAGAACTCCAACATAATATGATGGAGTTCCAGCATAAGTACACTAGAACTCCAACATAATATACTGGAGTTCCAGCAAGTATAATTGTCCAGTATTATATACTGGTGTTTGGAGCACCGATGCTCTAGTCTCCAGTATATTATACTGGAGTCAACAAAGTATACCGGTTCAACATAATATGCTGGAGTTCATACACAGGTGCACCGAACTCCGGTATATTATGCTAGACCGGTCTCTGTTGCAGCAAAATAGTGGCTATTTTTTATTGACTTCGTAAATACTGCTATTTTTGAATGATCAGTCCGAAAACTGGCTATGTCGTGCTACTTTTATGAAACTTTACCTCCTATAACAAACCTTTATACCTTACTTAGTACTATAAATAAATATTTTTTAAAAAATTATTTTTTATAGCTACCTTTTAGGTTTTATAGCAAACTATTTATTTATGGTCACTTCCTATTGTTAAGTCTTTAAATACGATATGAAATATTTTTCTTTCTCTTACTTTCTATTCTTTCTCTCACACTAATACCGTATAGTATACAACTTTGTTAAACCCACAATCTCTCTCCACTATCTCTCTCCCAACCCAACATTTTCCCCATGAATACAACTACCATTATCAACTGATTCATCTCCATTTTCTCTCTCAAATTTGAGCATTTATGGATTGGTTCCACAAACAACATTGATGCCAATTTACTCTGGCAAAGATAGGGTGCCCTTATTTGGGACTATGCTTATAAGGAAGATACACGCCGATGCCATAAGCGACAATGAAGCACCCCGCAAAGATTGTTAGACGAATGACAGATTCAGATACTTCTGTGAAGATAGTTTTAGAATAGTTATCGCTGAATATAGTTTCTGAAGATAATTTTTTGAATATTGTTTTGGTAAAGATGGTTTTCTGTTAAGAACAACTCATATATTCACTTTATGCACTGTATTCAAAGTGTTTATTCAGTAGTTTATAATTTCAAAGCTTCACTTTGTTTCACTGTTTTGGCGCAACAGTATATATTGAGCAGTTTGTATTCATATGTATTCAGTAGATGTATATATGTATTCAACTATATCTGCAATATGTATTCAATATACATATGCAGTATGTATTCAGTAATTTACTAAAAATAATCCTTTAGTAAATTATGGAATGTATTCATCAGATGTGTGTGTATATATATATATATATATATATAT